TACGCGCTGTGATTATGTCTTTTGTCTTGCTTTATATCTTTTCTGTTACAGTAAAGTAAATAGTACAATATGTATGTATATACAGTTAAAAAAGAAGAAAATATTTTTGTATAACATTTTCTCATGCGGAGCTGCGTTTTCGAGAAAATCGACTTTAAAGTTTGTTCAACTTGTAAACGATTTAGTACAATTTACTTGTGTATTCCACTACTGTGGTTGTCTTTGTCCGGGGGAGTGTTTACAAACATTGACAACGATGGAAAAGTGTCTTCACAGTTCGGTTTACGATAAGATATTGAGGCATTCGAAAAATTAAAAAGCGATAGCAGCTGACACTCTGTTCAGACATCATTAATTCGTCGAACAAACTTATGTATGCAGCAACGAGGAGGACATTTTCTACAATACTTAAAATAGTGTACTGTATTGTAGTATTGCAATAGTAAGTAGTAAAAAAGAATAAAAAATGAGTAATCAGTAGAAACACTTTGTATTGTTTTATCCGCACAATTATCAATGTTTGTAAACACTGTCTCTGACAGAGACAACCGCAGTAATGGAATACACTATAAGCAAATTGTACTAAATCGTTTACAAGTTGAACAAATTTTAAAGTCGATTTTCTCCACAACGGAGCCCTGGATGAGGAAATGTTATACCAAAATATTTTCTTCTTTTTTAATGTAGAATCAGCCCCTGCCCGGTAGTACTACGATTTCCGGCCCACCCTGTATAAATGGACATATAACTGTATATTTGCAATAATAAGACGTACATGACTGCATAAAACAAATTTTTATCTTGAAAACTATTACACTTGAAGACATTTTTTTTCTTCGCTTTGCAAAAGATTTACCTTTAGAAATATATTTTTAATTTTGTCGTACGCACCCATTTTCAATATGAAAATCATAAATAAATTTTTATTTTACAAAAAGGAACCAGTGCTCAGGTTTTTCAAAATCTGGAAAAAGTATGTGTTGCTCCTTGAATTTTTTTCGATAAGCGTACCAAATTTTATTAGTATCATTTAACAGTTGTAGTTAGGATGGAGCTTCAAAGACATTCGAGTGCCACCCCGAATGTATAGCGCTAGGAATTCCAGTTAAGTGTATAAGTACACGCTATTATTTCTCTAACCATTGAAAATATGAAAATATATTTCATACAAAAGTTGTTTGATTTCATGGTACAAACGTAATAGGATATTTGAATTTCTTTTTTAATAGTTATTTATTGAGCTTTTAATAACAATATAATTTTTTAAAATGAAACTGCAATATTTTTATTATTGGCAAGTTATTAAGCAGTTCAAGACGAATTGAACAACACATTTGGAAGTTCTGTTTGAACAATAATTTTTCGGATCATTATTTGAATATTTTCTCACGGATCATACGTTATGGGAACAAGCCAACCGAACTTGATATTTGCCAGCAATATTCAATTAAAGTATTATTCAAACAGAACGTTCAAATATGTCGTTGAATTTATCTTGAAATGTTTAATAACAGAGCAATAATAAAAATATGTAGTTACGTTTAAAAAAAGTACGTTGTTATTATTAAACGTATGTAACAAGTCGTGTTCATAATTTATCAGAATCGATAATGAAAGATTATCATTTTAATCAGAAAAATCTTACCAATATACTAGTAAAAATTTCATTAACAACAAATTAAAAATAAAAAAGTTTCATCGTTGCATTAGCGTTTGTCTCGTGCGCCGGACAACAATGTATGCGCTCGATGGATTTGACGGACGAAGCAGGGGAATGTACGAGGATTAGTCGAAGCGTTTAATCGTCAGCGATTGCCCAGAGAGCTGCTGACGAATAAAATGTAGCTGGATCACCTCCTGCCCGGACCCGACTTCGGGACAATAATCGCGAGACCCCTGTACTGAGCAAGAGATGACAGGGGCCTGAAATGTAAAGTAAATGTATACAGGGTGTAACAAAAATGTTGTCCGACCCAGAAATGGGGCACTCGGGGGGTGAATTGGAAAAAGTTTTTCCTTAGCAACAATGTAATCTGAGGGTTCGTTACCGAGATATTAACGAAAAACTCCGACCAATCAGAGCGCGAGTTTGCCAGCCGAGTTCCCGCTCTAGCGGTGGCTACGCGTTGCTACTGGTAGGCAGCTTTACCGCGGGAACTCGGCTTGCAGACTCGCGCTCTGATTGGTTGGGTTTTTTTGTTAATATCTCGTTAACAAAGCCTCGGATAACATTGTTGCAAAGGGAAAACTTGTTCCAATTCACCCCCCGAGTGTCCCATTTCCGGGTCGGACAACATTTTTGTTACACCCTGTATACTTCTGTAAGATACACACGGCCCTCGTTGCGGTTTCATCAATAGGCCTTCGGTCACCCGAAAAATGCCTAGTTGTAAAATTAGTCAGGGGCCCGCTCCACGAAATCGGTATAACCGGGTATACCTCAGGTTGGGGACCGCTGCTTTATAGTATTGATAAACATTACCCAAAAGTACTAGTCACCATTTGTATTCATTTTTTTGTAATTGATTCCCCTCAAAATAGTTAAATTTTTATCAAATCTGAATGTCTAGTCCCCATAACGAAATATTGATGGAACCTTTTCGCATCTTCAAGATCGTCCAATCGTCCCGCGCTCTCTTTCCTTCTTGTCATCATCTGCCGCGCGGAGTCTTGTGCAGATGAAAGACACAGCCGTTACGTGAATGAATTTAACACATTCTCTACCAGCGTCACATATGTGTGACGTTCCTATTTTCATGTCAACATACTTAGCACCCTGCCGCGTGTATTTTTCGGATTACATCGTTGAGCTGCTTTTTTTTCTCGATAGGATTAGTAGACTGCCGGAGAGTAGAGGATTCGTAATCCTCTTTTACCGATTTTGTCCTTCCGTAATCGTGATTCTTCATGGCTGGGTAGAACGAACACAGAGGGACTAAAAATTGGCACGAATTTTAAGAGACCCGTTACTCGATTCACTATTGGATTGTGCAATAATTTTATTCATTCTACTTTACCAGACGATTAAGGACTATTACTTTGATATCATATATAACTTTGATAATTAGTGATGTAGGGGAGAATAGGGTAGGAAATGCGATCACCCAGCAGTTGGTCCACGAAGTAGTGGTGTTCTCGAATCCATTCATGAAGTTCACAAGAAAGAAGTTGTATTCCAGACTTCTTTAAGAAGAAAGTACACAAGAGTTAACACATTATCTACCGACTGCTATTTAACACATTCTCTACCAGCGTCACATATGTGTGACGTTCCTATTTTCATGTCAACATACTTTCTTAGATGTGTTCAACATAATGTCTTAGTGGAGTGGGTTTTGCAATATTCACCTATATTTTGTATCAGTTATTATCTCTGTTTTGTGTATCGTTAATTTCTAATCAAAAAGATAAGGATAGTGTAGTCAGTGAAAAACATTTTTCGAAATACAGTGTCCATCCGATTCTTGTCCCAAACTCGGGTTCGCAGAGGGACAGGACTCGTAGCATGAGAAACGCTTTCAACGTATAAGCCCGTCCTGTGACGTTACATTATTCGTCATACCGTCCGATTATGTGTGTACCGTCCCGGCCAATAATAAAAATACGTGTGATTGGAGGAGATCCAGCTACATTTAATTCATCGGCAGTTCTCTGGGCAGTCGCTGACGATTGAACACTTCGAATAATCGTCGTTGCCTCGCTCCGTCCGTCGAGCCCATCGTGTGCATACATTGTTGCCTCGGCCAGTGTGGCCAGATTTTTGTAACCCAAGGCTCACACTAGTACAGGACAAAGCGCCCAATAGTGCAACCAATCAAATCGCACGACGCAAAAATACAAATTAAATGTTTTGATACAGAGTTTTCGTTTCTTTGAATTAGATGACCATAAAGGTACTAATATAACAGTAATTTAACAATATTTATTTAAAAATATATACATACATTTGTTTGAAAAATGATTATTATCGTCATTCAAGAAAGATATTATTTCTTCAATATCATCATTAACATTATCTGTTTCAGTCTTAGTTTCAGATTGGTACATTTTAGAATTAAACCTTGAAAACATAGAATTCGTATCAAAGTAAGCTTTTATTTCGTTATCTTCTGTGACTCTACAAATGCTATCTCATCAATCCAGAACCAGTGGACAAATGACACCATCGTCCAAAAATTCCAAAAATTCTACGCCAAATCAATCCAAAGAAAAAACTCGATTACAATAGTCTGGGTCCCCTCCCACGTTGGCATTGCAGGGAATAAAAAAGCAGACAAAGGGGCCAAAAATGCAGATAACTCACAAACCCCTGATTACTACATCAACAGCTTATCCCCAGAAACTATACTCCTTAGCTCGAAACAGAAAATAAAAGATATTACGATTAAGTAATATGGTCTTTTATTAGTACTACACCAAGATATGACCAAGTCGTAATCTCAAGAATTATAATAGGCCACACGAAACTCACTCACCAATACTTGCCCAATAAAGAAGAACTATCAACCTGCGAACTGTATATAGAAGATATACCACTGATAGGCAAGAATTCAATATAAGAACCACCTTGAAGGATAATGTAAAAGACAATGAATCGGTCCAAACCCTACTAGACTACCTAAAATATACCAAACTGTACAATAAACTATAAATCTGGACTTTGAGTCGCTAATAACCCATACAAATGGTTGATGCGACGTTAAATAATCGATTTAAAAAAAAGTTCTACAATCCAGCATTCATTTTGGCACCATGACCTTTGAGCACCAAGGCAAAAACCCTTTCGGAAACAGAAGCATATTATTAGGTTGTTGGGAAAGTAATTTGGTTTTTTCATGGAAATGAAAGACGAGTTTTTTGTAAAAAGAAACAGTTCTATTCAGTTATACATATTGACCATTTTGTTCCAACTCCTTTTTCCACTTTTTAGGTGATGAAGTGATTCCGCGTTCGTAGAACTCCTTGTTCTTATTCGCAAAAAAACTGAATTAAGTGACTCTTCATAACTTCATTTGAATCAAAGGTTTGTCAGTCAAACAATTTTTGAGCGACCGACTCAGGTGATAATCGCGTGGTGTCACATCTGCTGAATATAATGGATGCGGTAGCACATCCCATCCGAGCTCTAACAGCTTCTGGCGAGTCACCAAACATGTCTGAGGTCTAGTGTTATCGTGAAGAAACACGACACCTTTTCTATTTATCAATTCTGGCCTCTTCTGCTTGATGGAATCATTCATTTTGTCTACTTGGTGGCAGTACACATTCGAATTAATTGTTTGGTTGTTTGGTAGGAGCTCAAATAAACAATTCCATTCCAATCCCACCAAACAGAGAGCATCACCTTCTTTGATGGATATCAGCTTTCGATGTGCTTTGAGTTGATTCATCACGTCTGCTCCATGATCGTTTGCGTTTAACATTGTTGTATACAATCCATTTTTTATCACCAGTTATGATTCGCTTCAAAAATGGATCGTTTTCCTCAAATTTCAACATGTCGCAGATGGTAATGGAACGAATCAAGTCTCTTTCTTTGAGAATGTATGGAACCCAAATATAGATCTTTGAAACGAAACCAAGTCGTTTCAAATGCTCATGAACAGTCAAATTCGATAAATTCAACATCCCAACAATTTTTTGTGTTGTTATCCGATGATTTGCTTCCACTATTGCATCTATTTGGTCTTCATCAGCCTCAACCGGCCTTCCAGAATGTGGTGCATCTTTGACATTGAAACTACCAGAACGGAATTTTGAAAACCAATTTTAACACTGGCGTTCAGGCAACACATACTCTCCATACACGGCACACATTTTTTTCTTGCTTGCACTACATTTTTATCATTACGGTAATAAAAAAGCAATGTATGCCAAAAATGGTTACTTTGGTTTTCCATTTTTTAGGCGACAACAAACACAAACGACTTGTCAGCTTCAAAAATAATTTTTTTAAAACTAAAGCTTGAAATGTCAGTTGTCAAAATATATGTATAATGATTTTATAGGTTAGAATGAAGTTGTTTTCTTAATATAATTAATGACATCTAACTGCAAAAAACGAAATTACTTTTCAAACAACCCAATAATATTTCCTAACATTGAAAGCAAAAAAATTGTTAGTGGAAAAGAGGAACTCGGTGGGAAAGGGGCACATGCAACAGTACTGTAAATTTACACGACAACTTCTTATAGGAAAACTAATTTTTCCAGGATATTCAGTATTTACCTGTAATTACTTTAATTTCTAATTGAAGTAGGTGGTAAACGGCAATTACTGTCACATCTAGACTCGACAATTCACATTATATGGCACGTTTTTTAACAATCTTAGAAAAAGGGTACGGGTAATCAGGCAAAATTTTTTTCAGAAACTATATAGGCATAACTCTATTATTTCGCCGTACGTACTTAATATTTTCCACTACTCTGTAGGCTATGAGTCCTGAATCAAGTAATACAGTAGTGTTATTTACGTTTAATTTTTTTTTGAGACAGTCGACAAGTAATGTTTATAATAAATAATATTCAAAATTATCATTTACATGATATATATGTACCGTTTTTGACATTATTAAAGTCACGTTTGTTTATCTGTACTGCTAAATAATGTTTTTAATTTTGAAAACAATTGACGCTACATAATTGAATTGAGGAAATTTTCACTGTCAAGAGTATAGGCTCATAAATTAAAAAAGAAACGTAAATAACAATGGAAAAAACATTTGTAAAGCGAAAAATACTTTTCTAAGAGTACAAATAAGACTAACTATCGTTTGAATTCCGTACAACTAGATTTACTGCACATAAGGCGTACATAATCAAGTATTTCAAATTTCATGCACTTTTGTCTAAGATTGTACCTCCGATGTATCTTTAAGTTTACCGTGCATTCTTTCCAATAATAAATATCAATCTACTAAGATTAGTCTCTTTATTTATTCGGATAATCAATATTCTGCTATATTTCAACTTACACAACTTGTAAAACACTGTTTCTTATATTCTAAAGAAATATCAGTCGAATTTGTCCTCATTTGACAATACACATTTTAAGGCACCAAAAACCGAACGATCCGTCTTCGCGATATTATCGCGTTTCCATACTTAAGTAGATTATCGCCCGTAACGTCTGTATAATCGGTTTAATCGATATAAATCACACATTATCGGTATCGGAATCGATACCGTGCTGACCTACATACATATTTCGACCGTGACGACGAATGGAAACCGAGGAAAGAGAGCTGGGCCCTTCCTTTTAATGGAAAGCAAATTTGATCTGCGACACTTTCTTCGATTCGCATCTGCAGTTAATAATTCTTTAAGAATCACCTGGATATTACGCGTTCCCGATTCACGGACGGTCGAAGAATTTATGTACGCCTGTTCCGGGGAAGAACGGTCGCGCGCGTACCGATCGTAAAACTCACCCATTACTGTCCCGTCACGGTGCGTTAACATCCACCGAAACGATTCCTCGTACGCCCGTTTCACGAATTAATATTCCGCGAGAATTTTATCAAGATTAACAGCGAACATCCGTCGGCCGAATTATTCCGTTATCTTTCGTCGAACCCTACCACATTTATTAACTCTGTCATCTTGAATCTGTCGACTTTGCTTTTGCTCTCTTTGGAGCACATCTCGGGTTCTCTGAAATCACAGAATTTTCTTTCGTTCTTCTTCGTTGCGCTGTCCTTATAGTTTGCTTCTTTATACATATACACATTATACAGAGTGTCCTCAATTTAAGGGCTTAACTCACTTCGGAACTCAAAAATAAAAGCTTTTTTAGCAACTTTTTTGCGAAAATGATGAAGTAAATGAGAAATCTATTAAAAGGCATTTATTGTAATATATTTTCGGATACGTGAAAAAATTTGTACGCAAAATTTTTCGGTTAAAAACGATTACTTTTTCTTCAAATATTCATCGTTTGCACAAAAAACCACATTTCTTCATGTGGAACATCAAAATCTTTAGCTTTTTGTTCTCGATAAAACCGTTTTCAAGTTGTCCTTGCACACCGATCAGGTGCTCTTTTAACACTATTTTTACCGCGGTTTTATGTATACCTACTTCGACTAAGAAGTGTCTTTTGGCACCTTTACATTTGGATTCAAATAACTGTGGAAATAATAGTTAAAAATATATATTTTCTTTTTACTTTTTATTTGATAATTAGAAAAAATAATCAGAAACTGTAATATTATTATTGAGGTGCAGAGAACTTTTCGCCTCTCGCCATCGCGGAATCAAGTTCCGCATACTCAATGAGAATTTTCTGTACTATTTCAATCGCTTGACGAAGAAAACAAATGAACCTATTGAGTGTAACTGGAACAAAACGATGAAGTGACGATGTGTATTATGTCAACGCGTGCTCTTCTGAACTTATATGTAGATAGATGAAGATTTCGGTAGCGTTAAGAGTAGGGTCAGGCGGAACAAACGGAGACCCTCCGTTGCCTCCCTGTATTTCACAAGCCATCTTCTTGTGGACGAAGAATACTTGAACTCGAAAGAATTAATTGGCGTTGCACAATTTTTCGAAGTTGCATTGCAATGATCTACAGTAAAATGCAAATTGGAATATAATATTCACAGCAACCGGATATAAAAGTTTTCGCTGGGAAATCCCCTATTTTTTTTACAATTGAAATGGGGATTACCTCATTTAAATTAGAACTGAAATGGTGTTACCTTATAGTGCTGATATTTATATGTAAAATGATTTAGAATTAGACAATGTTCTCCTTCTCCACTCAACCTCGACGTCGCCATTTTGTTTTAAAAAAAATTGTTTGCGTACCTGAAGATACGTATTTTAAATGTATTTATTAATAATTATCCATTATAAAGATTTCCCCATTTATAACCTGATTTTTGCAATAAAAATTGCCAAAATTAGCTTTCATTTTTAGGCTCCAAAGTGGGTTAACTCCTTAAGTGTCAAGATTTCGGGAAAAAAAGTTTTAGTTTTTCACTTATTTATTCGTATTATCATTCAAGAACGTAAAAGGATAAGGTCAAGTATTTATATCTGTAGAAAACCTCGGAGCAGAAAATTTATTTCATTCCAATCAACTGAAGAGAGCAACCGAGAGATTGAATTGTAACTACAGTGCACGAAATATCATCAGAACAATTTATAAAGACAATTATTACGAGTTTCTCCGAAACTGAGTGAAAATAAGCAAATCTTCAGTGGACTTTTTTTCTTAGTTTATCGGTCCCCTACACGCTGCCGAAATTAGAGGCACCCTGTATATCCTCGATTTGTTAGATGAGTGATATAAAATAAGAAGTAAATTTAGTAGGAAATCGGTTTAAAATTTTTTGTGGTAAAAAATGATTAATTATTCAAGCATTTAACAATGAAAAAATTTGTTTTTGTTTTTACAATTTAGCTAACAGGCTTGGATTTTAAGAGTCTCCAATCAAACATTGTCTATGTATACTGCTAACTACAGACTTCTCTCAATTATCGTTCCGAATTCGGGTCCGCGCCAAGGCAATAATTTTATAGGGAGAAATGCTTCAGACCAGAGTTGAGCAAAATTTTTATCGAAATAAAAATTTCGAATAAAAAAAGTATCTTCATTTGACGAGCCTCGATTGAATAAATTTATTCGGCGAGAATTATTCGACGAATAAAAGATACTTTTTTTTTATTCGAGGCGTTTTATTCGTGGCATCGAATTTTCAACTTGTATCTGTAACTTAAAAACTTCGAATAAAAATTTGAGTCGTTGCTGTAATTGAAAAAAAGTCACTTTTTATTTACATGGAAGGCAATCATAATTATATGTATATCAAAAATTTTTCAAAAAATGAAATGATTATAAAATATTAATTTTTAACTGTGAAATAATTACAAGATATAAATGTTAATCAAAACAGAATTTGCGTGAAATAAACATCGGTTCGTCCACGACTGTAACCAAAAAAACCTAGTGGTTCTCTGTGATGAAATAAGCTCAGGTTCATCCACGACTCTCCTACGAATCTGTGCGGTTCCCGGTGGTGAAATAAACACCGGTTCGTCTGCGACTTTACGTCGTTCCAGCGGTTCCCAACTATGAAATAAGCATTGGAACGTCTGCTCCTAACACACTACCTAACCTCGGCTACGGCGAAGACTGCCTTTAGCCCTCGGCTCGTAACAAACAAAACTAAATCTTTCAGTCTAGGGGTAATAAAACGATACTTGTAGTAAGATAACAGGGAAGTATTAATTTATTATAAATAAGCTCATTTAAAATAAATATTGACATTAAGCGATTATTTTTGTATGCTTTCTTTCACTACTTTCACTGACAATACTTTTTACTCAAATCATGTGTAATTTTTCAATTGAATGCAGCCCAATCTAAAGTACATTAATCCTATAATACATGTAATTAGTATTTCTAACTTCCAAACTGAATAAATACATACATAGTGAATGTATAATGAATGTATACATAGTGTCCCACTTCAGACGAATACCCTAATATCTTATTGGATTACGAGGCTATGAAATAAACTGGTGAACACTATATTCGTTTAATTACACAATTTATTCAAAGCACTCGGAAAACGCGTCTTTATACTCTCGAGGAAACTTCCAGAAGTGGCGAGCAACGCGACGCGATCAGAGAACATCACGTTTTTCAGGGATAATCGATCCCGCTCGTAACGAAACAACGTATCGTTAGGAATGAAGTTGAATCTTTTCAAGCATTGAACAAAATATAATATATATATTTATTACATATCTTTTTTATTTTTAATCTAATGAGAAATGTTTTGAACAGTATGATGGTTTCAAAAGGCGAGTATCGTATATGGAAAATGTTTTTATGACCATGTTTTGCGTATTTTTTAGGTCACCGGTTTTTTTTTTATCAGAGAACATGTACCTACTTTTGTTCATTACATCATGTAGCACGTCTTAAAATGCATTCAAATGTTTCTAACTTATGATGTGTTAAGGTGCATTCAAATACATACACGGTGAGTTAATAAGAACTATTATCTAAAATAATTCATTACTTATTGATTGCATCAGAAAACGTTTTAATGAATTATATATATAGCAATTTATGAGTTGCATCGGATAGACACAATTTGATCTTTTTATATCTTATTAAGACGTTTTTGATACAATCAATAGGCAACAAGATATTTTAGATAGCAGTTCTTATCTACTCACCCTGTATGTCTAACCTATGATTATGAGGTGAAATTGAACATTGAAAAATCAGCTCTATATTTATTAATCTCGTATTACAGTAAATAAATGAAATGAGAATAAATCCAAAGACTTTACAAATACACTAGAAGACATAACCAGAAATAACGTTTCGATTACCCACTTATAAGTCACATATTTAATATTAATATCGACATAATATAGTATTACAATCTGCAAGTAACATATAAACCATTATTGTAACCTGCAATATATACCCGTTTATTATACCAACAAGATGGTGGCAAGAAACCACTCCCTGTTTCGCAAACCTTCCACAATTTGCATAAATCACTAAAACACAAAACAAAAACACTGCCGTGAATAAGTGACCGGGTACTAATTATAATCCCCGTAAATCAGAAAATCCCATTGACATCGAGTATCCATGGAGAAGAGGGATGATTTCAGCGTGAATGGTGTTCGTGTATATAATCGGTCCTGTTATTTTAGCGCAATTAAAACGAAACGGCTGCTGGGCAGTAAGTAGCACGGAAGCCGTAATAGATTTTGATAACAAGCTGCGCACCATTACGATGATTTATACACGAAAATACTGATTGTTGCGGCGTGTACGAGATCCTTAATAATCGTCGATGATCGGACGCGTATACAATAACCAATGGTTAAGTGCACACTCGACCCTGGTGTTCGTTTTGCCTTTTTGTTTGTCTTTTCTTTTCTTTTTTCCATTTTTTTTGGCGTTCACCAATTTTTGGCGGTTTCTTTGTTCCGTTTTCCGATCAGGGCAAAAAAAGGAACATCGTTGACGGTGGGCAGAGCGCCTTCTCGTGGTATTTAATTAGTTCCCTTAACGACACGAAACTACAGAGAACGGCGGCACACACGAGCCCGCAGAACCGTTTAAATCAAGGGGTGATGAGAGGGGCAGGGCGGACGGAACTTATCAAGCCACCGCGCGGCGGCGTTTACCGACGAGCATTTAGTTTAAATTAGCCGCGGCTGGCTCGCGCCTCGGGGATAAATCGGCAAAATCATACACTGTGACGCATTCCATTACCCCGGATACCAGTCCTCCTCGCCCCTTCCTCACGGTGCTGTTCTCGCGATACGCGTGGCTTTAACTGCCACCTTAGCCTTGCGAGATTCTCTTCGGCTTGGTTCTTTTATCATCGGCTCGTTACCGAGGCCGGTTACCATTTACCTGAGGCTTCGATGTTTTCCAATCGCCATTTCTACGGCAAGCTGCCGGTGCACAGTGGTCGGTTCTTCTAAAAAGTCGGACAAAAATAAGACAAAACTATTCTGTAAATTTGAAAATTGTTGATTAATTTCACTTATTTGTGTCTAATATGTATAATTGAAAAGTCTCTTTCTGTTTGATCTTATTTATACCTAACTGAAAAAATGGATATTTTTGAAAATTATTTAAATTATAATAATCATTTTTCTATTCCGGCGAAATGAATGTCTATGTTTCAAATTGTTTACAAACTGAAAATCTGGTTTTAAAATATGACAATAATCATCGAGTTATTTAGATACAGTAAAGACTCGATAACATTTGGATAAGAAATTCCTCGTGAGAGTTTCTACTTCATCCCCACCACTAGGGAGTTATTGCCCCCCCCCCCCC